CAGAAGAAAGCGGTAGTTTTACGAGCGGTATGTTTGGAATCATTGTCTTGTTAAAAAATAAAATTATTATCTATAATTATACTCCAGACTAACCTTTAGCAGAGTCTTCTCTAAATTTTCATTGAGAATATCAATGTATACGTCTGCTGTCATTTACATCGTCGATTTTGACTACATTTTCCAAACTAGATCACGCAAAACACCCCCCTATTATTATACTATCCACACAGCACACTTTATCCCGCAGATGTTCCTGTGAACGTTCTCAGAATGTTAGACCATTCTCGGGATGTTCTTCAGAATGTCTCTTGGACATCTGTGCTCTATGGGTGCCTCCTCCACGTTTAACTATCTTTGGAATATTTTTGTCGACAAGTTTGATCAGACCTGTGATCGCTGTTTATAATCAAAAAGACTTTTGTCGCTCCAAAAGATCTATTTCCAGATCATCAATATCTGCCAGGACTATTATTTACATAAATATGGAAATGTTTGAAATATATACTTTACTTTATCTAATATTATATATTAACGTTTATGAATTATGGAGCGTATTTAAATTATGATCATATATTTATGTATAATAAAGGAAGATAATCGATATATTGACGTATCAATTTGTTTTTGGACAATATTTCTTAAAAGCTAAAAATAATACTTTAGAAAACATAAATACAAACTAGAGTGTCTTCTATCAGATAATATAGCAGTTTTTATAATACTGTTTGCAATTTTGTAATGATTAACTTTTTCGTAAGATAAACAAAAATAAGCATCTGACAAAATGAGTTCCAAAACACAGTAACAGTAACGTTACATGTTCCTATTCTTTTTCTTTTATAGATCATTTGTACAAAATATCTACAAGTGAGTGTATATATAATTTTCTAGAATCTTTTTATTTCTGTATAAAACGTTTTTCGTTCATTTATATGCATACTTTATACTCTGCAAGACGCAAACATGTCAACAGTTTCTTTTTAGAGAGTTTTCTCTTATAAATACGTGATTGCTTTTAACTCCGATAGGTCTATTTAATACTATAACGCTATAACACTTAAGTTAGTTATGATCAGTTTTGCAAATAAATATACCCCGATTTTAAAACCATATTATGAAAAAAAAGAAAGAAAAGGTATAAATAAAACTGATTTAGGAAACTACAAACATTAAAACGATATAATATTATCACTATTATATTTAAACTACGCAATTTGCAAAGGAAATTGTAAGAATTTTATTTTCGTATTTGTATTATAGAATTCGTGTCTAATTAATTTTGTATAGAAATAAGCCGCAAATATATACTCTCTAAATTTGAATTAATAGTCACTAATTACCCAGTGTCATACTTGACACTGATAATCAGTGAAATTCAATTAAAAAAAGGAAGAATGTTCGAGCATTATATAACTGAAATACTGATATTTGCACGTTAATTTCATTCTTCATATTCATTGAATTTATGCACTAAAACAAGGTTGGTTAGATTACATAATAAAGATCAGCTAGGGATCTTACATTTCATTCACTGATTCACTGATTACAGTGGCATACTTGGCACTGATATCAGTGATTATCCACTGAATTAGATTTAGAAAGTAACATGAATTTTTATTTCTCTAATTATCGAAAAAGATCATGTTTCTATCAGTATATATTAATAAAGCGAGAGGTGTCTCTTTGGGAGATAGTATCGATAACTTTCACACATCTATGTGTTTTTTTATATACCCAGTTACTTTTTATATTTTTCATTTATTTATATTTATTTTTTTATATAATTTATTTTGTCATTTAATAATTCTACATATTTTATAAATAACAGCGCATTTCTCGATTTTGGATCCAGAGCTCAATCAGAGTTCGAAATTAGCTTGACAGATAAAACGTTAAACTTCATCCTGATTTTTATTGTCTCTCTCTCTCTCTCTCTCTCACACACACACACAAAGGAAAAGTTGGAATAATGCCTGTTGTATTTGTTTCTAATTCTTGTTACTGTTATTCTGTCTGAAGTATTCCATTCAAGATTAAACAATTTAATATGAACAATATTTCGCGAACACTCGTCGGATAATTCCCGACGAACTAGTTTCGCGGCGAGAAGGAAAGTTCTTCCTCGTAACTATCTCGACTAAAACGCACGAAGTAATAATTATTTACCTAAAATGCAAACATACGGTATCAAATAGAAGCCTCGGGAACAATGACGGCCATGCGCACAAATTTTACAGCCTTGTTACATGGTTTATACGCTGCATAATTTCGCGATAACAATTTCGCATATCCACGTGAACATTGTAACACTCGTAAAGTCAACTCTTGAAAGGTCAGAATAAATTTTGCACTTATATATTTTATTTCTAATCCCTTAATCCATTTATAGCGCACAGAAATTTTATTTGACGTGAAAATTCCACGAGTGAAAAAATGTTACTTTTTTGAGTCGAATAAAACAAAATTCCGGCGTGAGCGATAGTGCGAAACTTTATAACGAAATTTTATAGCGAAACTTTATAACTTAAACTGTATGTGACGAAACATTTACGTGTTTATACCTGTTCTTTAGATCTCTTTTATTCTACTTACTAAAGCGTATTAAATCTTCTCTCTCTCATAATGAGAATATTCCCTTTGATGTTTCAAACGTGATTACGCGAGTGGCTCATAATAAGATCATTTAAGTTTAAATACATTTCGCAAACGAGTATTGTTTCTAAGATTCGTAAAGGAAATTTCGCAAAGAGCAACTGACGTTCAGGCTGGCTCCCTTATACGTTTCTTGCGAGCCCTTAATCCCTTTCCAGGTTACATAGCGGGAAGAGGCTTTGCCCAGCCAGCGAGCTTGTCGTCGTTCTTCCGGAAAGCAGCTCGTTATTGCGATCCACAATTCATCGAAAATCTCGTAAACCGCTCTCATGCCAACACTGAGTAAACTATGCATGTGTGTAACCATGCAAGTAGCATTACAGCTACCCTCTGAACAGCTATCTCCTCATTACAGATCCTAGGCATTAACGAGAATGGCAGTTATACCGACACAGTTTCCCAATCACAAATTAGCAAAATTAAATGAAAACAGGGTTAGTAAAGCATTTAGCGCAGACAATTAGAGTTATTATATAAAATAATAGGTCAACATAAAAATAAATCGTACGTTTCAGCTCAAGCTATTTGTAACAAACAGAAATGTAACTCGTGAAGAGTTTCGTCTCACGCTGAGAAATTATCTGAGCGATAATTTGTTTTTCGATCATTTTTGACTGAGTCTTCAAGCGAATTTTAATCAAAGTTACTAAAATACTTTATATTAGACTAAAACGAGTTTCGAATGAGTTTGGTCAAAGAACTGCCAGATGAAAGGAGCGACGAACTATAGACTTCAAACTCGGGCAAACATCTCAGATGAGCTTAGACTTGCCCGTCGTTGTGTACCGCGAGATTACGTGTGGTGAAGGCAGACAAAGCGAGTGCATCCGGCGATGCACATGCGGAAATTACGCTACGTGACTCGAGCGGCTGTAAATAACGTGCTACCGCTATTAACGAAACTTAAAAGCGGTAGCAAACGTCGTTTGTGCCTCGTCAGGAATTAGCCTTCTTAAATTTTAGGAATATCAGAAAACCATGGTAAATTCAGGAAGATTGTGAGATTTATATTGCGCGTATAGCACGTCACGCTGGAATTTTAACGCGATCATAATTTCTTCTCCTCCTTATCCGGACATGACGCGAAAAAAGTCGACACAATTAGTGACACGCGAAAATACTTCAAGAGTACTTTTATTTTCCTCTTGATTTTGTTTCAAATGATTTCTTATACGTAATGTTACTTTCTTCTGTTGGAAAAGTGGAAGGAAGACGTTTATTACGTTGAAATTAATCTCTATGATTATTATTTATTCAATTTTTGAACAACGGTCTTTTAATCTCCTGGTTGTATACTTTACTAAGGAATTAAATATGTAGTAGTATACAGGGGTGTCCCAAAATACGCAACTTAAAATATTATAGCAAGAAAGTTTTCAGAAAATTAAGTAGCTTTTTTACAAAATCAACTCTCTATAACAATCAATCATAGTTTTTCCTAATATTTAGCAAAGAAATATTGAAATATTGATCTTTTTTATAATATAATTTACGAAAAGATATATTTGAAATATTAGTCAGTTAATTAATTGCGATGCCTTTATTCAGTATTTCGATATTTATTGTGCTGTTTTTTACACGTGATACATTTTCGTCGAAGTGAAAAAGATAAATGGCGCTCGAAATACGATAAGAATTTGTAGCAGGATATATACATATGCATAGAAATTTAAAGCGCATTTAAAGCATTACATTTTATTGCAATATTCCGAGTAGGATTTGTAGGGCGAAATTATTCAATTTTTTCTAAAATATTCTTTTTATGGCGATACTTTTTACGATCATTAAATATGTTCGCGCCTTTGCTGGTCAAGTCGTAAATCGAACGCCGTTGTAGAAGCCCCGTGCTTGACTTTTATGACGCAGCAACAAGCAACTTTACGAAGTTGTATGTATATTTCATTATATCGTCTAAGAAGTGGGCAATCAACCCACTTAGTAAGACTAAAGTTCGCTATTTCTACGGTTAATTGTTGAAGCTTAATAATTAATTTATTGATGCCTTTGAGCTGTCCTTATTAATCTATAATTCAATGGTAAGACAAATTAAAACAACGATCGTTATCTCAGTTTATCTCTCAATTGACAGAAAGTACCATAATTTTTTAAACGCATATTTCTGTTATAGGAATTTATGTGCAAATATATTTTTCTTTTTTAAATTAATAAAAGAAATATCTTTATATTTTATATAAGACTCAACAGTTGTCATGTAAAATATTTTTATTCGTATAAATAATTATAAATATAGAAATAAACTTAATATAAAAATAAATAAATATCGAGAATTAAAATATCTTTATTATTATTTTGCAAGTATTTATATACAAAAACGTTTTATGTTCTAGGCCTCGTTTTTCTCGACAGCACTGAAAACCCTGATCTCTGTGTCTACTGTGATACTGCTTGGCCTCATATTTGCTTACCATGCCTTAGAAGTTCAGGTATGTATGATACATCTCTGTACGGTATAATAAGTGAATATTTGAATAAACTGAAGAAAGCTTTGAACGAAAAGTCGTTTAAACAGAAAATAGGATCGCACCTCTTCCTGCTCTGGAGACATATAAGTTGTTATCGTTGTCATTTATTCATTCGCTCGATTGCCCCTTTTTCAACAAAATTGAGCTTGAAAGAATCGAAAGATGGGGACAATATGTTTTCCTGTCTTTTTAAATCCATATGTCGAATGTTCGTTGAAAAATGCTTGCGCATTATTGTTACTTATTTCTATTAGAATATTTTTACGCTAAAGGATTATTATTATTATATATTCATACATATAAATTACTCATACATATAAATTGCTAAAGACATAAATATAAATTACCGGCGACTCTAAATGACTACAAATAATCGGAAATAAAATAAATTTCCGGAATTGAAAAGAAAGAACGAAAGGTGCTCCGCGCGCACATTATTATTAAAATCTTTTTGTGCTAAAGAATTATTATTTTTATTATATATAATACTTTTATAAATTGCTAGAAGCGTAAATATAAATAACCGGCGACTCTAAATGGCTAGAAATAATTGGGAATAAAATAAATCCGGAATTGGGAGGCATAATTCGCAGCGGCGAATCGGTTTTTGCCGGAGGCCGAGCGCAACATTACGCCCGAGTGATTACGAGATTTAACGGTGCAACCATCGGTCCGGCCAAAATCGCGGATAAATCGATGCGACGTAGAGCTAATCGAAACGCCATTGCGAACGCGATTTCGCAGGTATGCGAATGTTAATGCGTTTCTAATAAAAGGCCAATTATTTCGCGTACGCGGTCAAATTTTATCTATTCAACGCACGACACGATGTCATCGATCGCCGATTATTTATGCGTTATTTGGGACCTCTGTTCAAATCATTGAACCATGAACTCAACCGAGTGAACGACGACGTATTTGTGGAACGAATAAATGTGTTACTCTGTCCCTTTCGATCAATAAGTAATGTCTCGCAAACTTAAGCGACTTGAAAATTCATAATGGGATACTCGCCAAGAAAGCTGCTGTTTATTACGGAATATTCATTTTTGTCAGCTCTATTAAGGGGATCCTAAAGCCGTCTGTATTATCGACTAAATCATATAATTTTTGTATAACAAACACTTTTTTTCTCCTTCACAGATTCGAAAATCCTTTTCCAGGATTAAAGTACATTAATACGTGTTTGTGAGGTGGAGTTGTGAAGTGGAGTTTATGTCGAGAACGACCAAAAATTTCGAAATTGATATATTTTTTACCATTTCTTAGTGTAACATGGCGTCTCAAGCTGTCAAGTCGTAATAACATTTGTTTGATACGAAAATTTTGCAACCTGTACTTACGAAATAGTGATCTACAAACACATAGTTTACACGAACAAATAACATCGAGTTCTTACAAGGGAAGTTTCACAACTATCCGGAACCGATTTGATTCTCCATGAAGTATGTTGTTAACCACGAAAATCTAAGAGAGACACGTATTTTTTTATAGGTGCGCTAACTCATGTTTAAGGGGTGAAATACCCCATGTGTTTCACCCCTTAAACATGAGTTAGCGCACCTATAAAAAAATACGTGTCTTGCGACTGAATGTATCATAGATTGCGTGAGATATTGGTGTGGTAATATATAAAGACATGTCAATGCGCTGGAAAAACAGCTACATCTAGTGACTTTGTCGGAGTTCGAACTTCACTTTAGGATCCCCTTAAGGGGATGCTGGATCGACGGCCGAACTTAACTCGATAGTATTATACATTAAGTAAGATAGACTTTTTTTAATCCCAAATTCGATAATAGTGACATCTTTCATTCATTTCTTATATTTATTATATATCGTTGTGTCTCGCTCAAACGTATTCATTTGTCCTTATCTAACATATTGCAACGCCATCTCTTAGAAGATCGAACACCTACTGCTAGACACAATTATTGCTTTGTTTATCATTCC